CCGAACACGTAGAACAACCATTTGGGAAGCGGCCGTCCTTGGGGTGGTTGGGGTGTCTCCTCTCCAGGGGCTCCGCGGCCTCCACCCCGGGGTGCCCCCATTCCGCGGCCCCCACCCCAGGAGAACCTTCCCCTGCGTGTGGCGTCGACACCCTCGCTGGGGTCCTTTTGGCTACAGGCATCCTTGAAATGCTGAGCCCCAGCCAGCTTCCAAAAAATCCGACCTGCATGTGCACGGTCGGACCGAGGTATCAGATCGAGGTCGGTGCGGGGAGGGCACCCTCATGTTTTTCGTGTTTATTGGATGTTCTTGTGCACCCTGGGGGAGGAAGCCCTCGAATGTTCTTCACCTTGGCCGGCGGAGGGTCTCTTGCTCTTGATGGATGTTCTTCTGTCCGGTCTGGCCGTGCGGGGTCTGGAAAAGTCCCGACCCTTTCCCTAGTGCCGGTTCGTCATCCCGAGCCGTTTTTCAAAGGTCTCGGGGCCCGGCGAGGACCCCTGGAGGCCAAGGACGGCCAAGTGCTTTCCGTGCTTCTTCACGACGCGAGCATGTGAGGTGAGCAGGGGGCCCTGTCGTGTCTTACAGTGAGAACCCATGCAACGAAGCACCTTGCTTTCCTCCAGGGACTCCAGGGTGCTCTGGGCTTCTTGGGTTTCGGTGGTTTTGCTGTGGAAAGCGCGACATTCGCGCACCAAAAGTCAATGGACGTGGGGTCTCAGGGTTGGGCTTCTTGCGGACGGTATCTTGTAGTCGAGCTCCTACTGCAGGTCCGGCCGTAGGGTTCGCATGTGGTCGCCTGCCCCTCCGCAACCACCCCCTCCCCCGCCCCCCTGGTCGCAGGAGGTGGCGCCCCTGCTGCAGAGGCCCCGCCCCCGGACAAAGCGGCCGCCGGGCCTCTCCCCCCCCGGGCGGCTCGCCGACGAGGCGGTCGACGAGGACGAGGACGGCGAGGGCCGACGAGACGAAGCGGTCGACGAGGACGAGGACGGCGAGAGGCGGAAAAGGTGCCCATGCCGTCACCCCACAGACCCCTTCGAGTTACGAAAAAAATGCGAAGGGGAGGTGTTTCGTTATTTGTTCGGCCTCTGGGGGCCCCTACCGGCCCTCGTTACCGTCAACAAGCGTCTCAGGATTAAAAACTGGTCCCGGGGAATAGGTCGAAACCTCTGGGGGTCGACGTCCTCCTCCGCCTGTTTCTCCTCCTCCTCCTCCCGCTCCTCCTCCTCCTCCTCCTCTTCCTCCTCCTCCTCCTTCCTCCTCCTCCTCCTACCTCCCTCCTCCTCCTCCGCCTCCTCCTCCTCTTCTCCTAACTCCCTCCTCCTCCCCCCCTCCTCCTCCTCCTCCTCCTCTCCTCCTCCTCCTCCCTCCTCCTCCTCCTCTCTCCTCCTCCCTCCCTCCTCCTCCTCCTCCTCCTCCTCCTCCTCCTCTCCTCATCCTCCTCCTCCTCCTCCTCCCTCTCCCTCTCCTCCTCCTCCTCCTCCTCCTCCTCCTCCTCGTCCTCCTACCTTGTCTTCCTCGGCCTTCTCGCCCTCCTCCCCCTTCTCCTCCCTCCCTTCTCCTCCTCGGCCTCCTCCTCCTCCTTCTCCTCCTCCGCCTCCTCCTCATGACTTCGGGGGTCTGTGCCCTTCGGCCGTTGTTCTCCTCTGGGCCTCTGGGGAGGCCCTCACGTTTCGGATGTGCGCCTTGGGATCGTGGTCATAGCGCGCCCCGAGCGAGGTCCGCGGGAAGCAGCGGCATCAGCCCCTCTCCGGTTTTTCTCCCAAGGACGGCGAGGACGAGGAGGAGGACGAGGAAGAGGAGGAAGAGGAGGAGGAGGAGGAGGAGGAGGAGGAGGAGAAGGAGGAGGAGGAGAAGGAGGGGGACGGCGACGACGACTCCGACAGCGGGGAAGACCGGGGCGGGAAGGGTGAGCGTCGCCCTCATCCTCGCCGTCGCCCGCGTCGCCCACGTCGCACTGCCGCCCCCGTGGACCTCCCCGCCCTCGCCGTGGTAATGCGGCGCCGGCGCGCCGCGCCCGGGTGCGGCTGTCTCCTACAGAGTGTGGAACGCCGCCGCAAGGTAGCCGCGGGGGGCGGCCAGGTCGGGGTTTGCGAAAGGTGCCCCTGGCCCAAGGTGCGCCCAGCTTTTCGCAAGATCTTTGGCCCCTGGGGCCTTCTGATTCGTCCGGTTCGATCCGATTCGAGTTCGATGGCCTCCGATTCCGATTCGATTCGACTCGGGATTTCGATCTGGGTTCCGATTTCGTATTGGAGGCCTACTAGCCTGCCGATTTCCGCCGATTCGGCTTCTCCCGCTTCGGCTGCTGATCTTCGTCGATCCGATTCGCTTCGACCACTCATCCGACTTCATCGATCCGGTTCTGGGCTCTCCTGCCCTCGAGGCCTTGTGAGGGTTGCTCTGGAGGCCGTGGGGGCCTCCGCAGGGTAAGTCGGGCCTGCCCGTCTACAGAAGGAATCTTCAAAACTAGCCAAGACATAGTCAGGGGACGATGTTTTGGTTTATGTTTGAACATTTTTGGATCAGTGTTTGATGTTTTGTTTTTCCTCCGCAAGCCCCATGTCGGGGGACACGCCCGACCTGAGGCCAGGGGCACTCCCAGCGGCATCCGACCAGGGAGGAGCGCGCGGACAGCGGGTTGCGGAGGGGGCGGCGAGAGGGCCCCACAGCCTGGTGTGGCGCGTCGGGGGGCGGGAGCGGCGGTATACAGCCAGCCCGCATATAGCAAGGCTGGGCAACCTTTCCCAGAGATCCAACGCATTGAAGAGATCAAGACGGAGGTCTTTCGCAGTTTTCGGCCTCGAGGGGCCCTCGCAGGGCCTCGGGACCTTCAGAAAACGACTCAGGATGACAAGCCGGTCCTGGGGGGTGGGTCGAGACTTCGGGGGCCCCGTATGGACAACAGAAACACGACGTCGGATCCTTGGGCTTCCAAGGGTACCCTTGCATCCTTGCCTCCTCGGCCCATCCTTGGCCACTCTCGCTGGCCGCGCCCCGCTCGGAAAGCTTCGAAACGGCCTTCCGAGGCCCTGGCATCCTCGTCGTGCATCCTTGTGACACGGGTCGCCTCCAGTGACTGCGGCTGCCCCGTGCCGCATGCCAGGCGGCCTGGCCCCTGGGACGCTGTCGAAGTGGAGGGGCGCGGGCCCCTGGAGGCGCGGGCCCCCGGAGGGCTCTGGACCACTGCCCCCTATGCAGGGCCCGTGTGTCGTCGTTTTTCTGGACGGCTCCCGAGGCCCGGCGAGGGCCCCGGGGCTCGACAATACGGCCCCCACCCGGCCGCTCCAGCTTTCTGTTCGGAGCGCGTCGGAGTTCTGGTCTGTGGCCGGAGAGGCATCGGGGACAGGCTCACGGCCATGGCATCATACTTGCGTGGAGCAGCGATCGGGCGGAGGGCGCGGGGCGGAGGGAGGAGGAGGCGGAGGGCGGAGGGGGGGGGGAGACGGAGGGCGGATGTTTGCAGAGACGAGGCGAAGGGGGGGGGTTGGAGGAGGCGATCGGGGGCAACGGTAGGGCGGGATAGGCTCTGGGAGGAACGCGTCGGCCCCCAATCGCCCATTGGTCGCCGATACGGGCCCGACAGCCCACCCAGCTCAGGCGCGTGCGGTTTCGCTATCGGGGGCCCATTCCCCATCTGTCTGCGATGTATCGCCGATTCAAGCTCGACTTCCCCCCCCCGCCCCCCTGAGCTGGTCTGCCCTACCGTTCCCTCTCAACACTCTGCCTCAGAAGGAGGATGAGGTCGCCATAACTTCTGGCGTCGTGAAGCAATCACGACTGGATGATTTTGTTGTTGTCGGCCCCTTTGCATTGGGGCCCTCACCGGGCCCTGGGAACATAACAAGATAATTCAGGACGAGCATCTGGTCCCGTGGAATGGGTCTTGAGGAGCCCATGTTGTCAAACAAATCACGACGTCAGGGGGGGTCTGGGAAGGAGGAGGAGGAGGAGGAGGAGGAGGAGGAGGAAGAGAAGGAGGAGGAGGAGGAGGAGGAGGAGGAAGAGGAGGAGGAGGAAGAGGCGGAGGTGGACGATGGTTGTAACCATCGTAATATTGACTTCTAGCTGCTTTGCTCGCGCGCCTCAAGACACACGAGCGTGAATGCCGCAAATTTTCCTGGTCCAGAAGAAGACCGAGCGTTCGAAGCGCGTCGCCATCGAAACAGTTGGCGAACCCGAGAAAACATTTAAGAGGTGGGGACGGGGTTGATGATTTCTGGGGCTCGGCCTCTGGAATTTTGTTTCGGGCCCATGCCCGTCATTGCTTCCCCTCCCTGGCGAGCTCTGGGATCCCAGGTCGATACGCCACGCGAAGCACATGGGGCACTGGGATTGGCGAAGGAACTTCGGAGGGGTCTGGGGATAGATTTCGGGCAATTGTTTAAGCATCGCGGCGACAGGGGAGGGATTTGTGTTTCTGGGGACGAGGAGTCGTCGCGAGGCTTCCGAGGACCTCCACAGTGGGTGGCCCATCGTCCAAATCCAACAAGGCCTCGTGTGCTGCAGGATGCGCTCCTAGCCAAAGGTAGCCCAAGCTTTTCCAGGGAGGCCCAGATGGCCACCTGAGCACCCATCTCGGGGCCATGTGATGGCGCGAGAAGCTGGGGGCACGCTTGGCTGGGACCGCCTCTGGCAACACCCCGTTTCCCCAGGCGGAAAACCGGGAGCCTCCCAAGGGGGCATGCGTGCTCGAAGAACGCGCAGTGTGCTCCGCTTGCCCTAGTCGACGAACGCAGGCGTGCTCGAATAACGCTCGAAGTGCGCTTTGAGGAGGAGGAGGAGGAGGAGGAGGAGGAGGAGGAGGAGGAGGAGGAGAAGGAGATCGTGTCGATACCCTACCTCGGCTGTGTGGTCTGCTGCGCCCTGGGGCGTGCGATGCGTGCCTGCACGCTCCTCTCGGTGCTGCTCGCCGTGGGGCCGCCGGAGGGCTTCTGAGAAGCCCCGCCGCCTTTGAGAGGGCCTCCTCCTGCTCACCTCCCCCCTTCGCTCGCCGCCGAGCCAAGGTTTGGCCTCACCATGACGACCAAAGAGGAGCAGGAAAAGATCGTGGGCGAGATCGACAGGACCGCGGTGTGGGTATACATTAAGATATGTATGTATGTATGTATGCATATATGTATGTATGTAGGTATGTATGTATGCATGCATGCATGCATGTGTGCATGTATGTGTGTATGTATGTATGCATGTATGTGTATGTGTGTATGCGTGTATGCGTGTATGTAGGTATGCATGTACGTATGTATGTGGATGTGTATGTATGTATGCATGCATGCATGCATGCATGTATGTATATATGTTTGGATGTATGCATGTATGCATGTATACATGTATGCATATATGCATGTATGCATGCATGCATGTATGTATGCATGTATGTATGTATGTATGTATGTATGTTTGTATGTATGTATCTGTATGTGTGTGTATGTATGTATGTATGTATGTATGTATGTATGTATGTATGTATGTATGTATGTATGTATGTATGTATGTATGTATGTATGTATGTATGTGTGTGTGTATGTATGTATGTATGTGTGTATGTATGTGTGTATGCATGTGTGTGCATGTGTGTATGCGTGTATGCGTGTATGTATGTACATGTGTGTGTGCGTAGGTATGCATGTATGTATGCGTGTCTACAATCTTACATGTATGTATGTATGCATGCGTGTGTATGTCTATGTATATGTGGATGCGTATGTGCACGTGCATATGTATAATTTCACGTGTATGCAATTGCATCGTTACATGTATACGCCGAGGTCGATATCTATGTCTATGTATATGGATTTGTAAAGGCATGCATGTGTATATACATGTGTATATGTCTAGTATGTGTATATGCATTTGTAAGTGTAGATGTAGATGTATACGCATATGCATATGTACGTGTAGGTGTACGTATGCATGTATGTATGTGTGAATGTATAACTGTCAGTCTTTATGTCTGTCCGTCTGTCTGTATGTATGTATGTATGTATGGATTTGCATGCTTACATCTACACATCTAGATATCGCTGCGACGGCCGAAAAGGGCAGGCCCCGGCCCTCGGGCTCCGGGAGCGCTGCTCGCAGCCTGGGCCCGCGGCGCCCTCCTGGCACCGCTCCTGTCGTTGCGGGGCGGGCGTCGAGCAGTGGTCGGGGGCCCCCAACACGGGGCGGTGACCACACCGTGCGGTGAGTCGGTGGGGATTCGGGGTCACCGCACGGCTTTGGGACTCGAGCCCCTCTCCGAGGGGCGACAGGGGCCTCCAGGGCCCCAAGACCGTGCGGTGACGGACCGTGCGCTGAGGTCTCTTGGGGGTCCGAGGTCACCGCACGGTCTGTCACCGCACCGTTTCGGGACTCCAACGTCGAGCAATGGGGGGGCGGTGACAAAGTCACCGAGCGCGTTGCACCACGCGCAAAGTGCCTGCTCGCAAACGTCAGGAAACAACCCTCACACACATGTCTGCCTCGATGTGATGTATCGTGCATCCTCCACGTCGGATCCGGGCCATTCGCGAAGTAGTTACTTGGCGAGCAGTGGAGCGCGCTTGCCTCGGAAAATCGGAGGAGGAAACCGCTACCGATACCGCTACCTTCCCCTCGTTTTCTACTTTCGGGGGGCCTCCTGGGAGGCCCTCGTAGCCACCGCTCGAGTCGCTTCGAGATGACCCTGGCCAGGGTGCACCCTGGGAGAGGTCCAAGGAGCAGCGGTATCGGTGCCTCCCGGTCTCCCCAGGAAAAGTGCACCGTTTCCTCCCCTCAATGGGGCCCTACGCGGGGGCCCCCCTGGGGCAAGGGGGCGCGAGAGGTGCACGTTTCTCGCTCCCCACCCCGCCCAGGTTACTCTGCCTCAGGCGTTACTTCAGGCGAGGTCCTCACGAGGGCCTTCGCCGTAGTCAACACACTTTCTTCTTGCCCCCCCCTCCCCGAGTGGATCGACCCCCCCTCCAGAAGGACACGCCCGAGCGGGCACGGCCCCCGAAGGCCATCACAATCTCGCGAAGCTCGAGAACAACAAAAAACGAAGCCAGCGATAATGGGCAAGCAGGTGCTCTCGGAGCCCGCAGGCCGCGACCGCGAAGCTTGACAGAAAAATTAGCCTGACGAGGGACCCAACCATATGCAGGTGTGAGTACCGCAATTGTGAATATCTTCTTCGGTGGCGCTCCCTATGGGGCCACGAAACGTGTGAGGGGTGTGCCGAAATGGGTGCGCGGGACGCGTGCGGGCACACCCACTGGGGCCTTCGGTGGAGCTCCCTATGGGGCCACGAAACGTTTGGGGGGTGTGCCGAAATGGGTGTGCGGGACGCATGCGGGCACACCCACTGGGACCTTCGGTGGAGCCCCCTACGGGGCCACGAAACGTGCGAGGGGTGTGCCGAAATGGGTGTGCGGGACGCATGCGGACACACCCACTGGGGCCTTCGGTGGAGCTCCACATGGGGCCACGAGACGTGTGAGGGGTCACGAAACGCGTGAGGGGTGTGCCGAGATGGGTGTGCGGGAC